GCTGGATCCTGGCTGGGGAAGAGCAGGGGCAGCAGCAGTGCTGGGAACAAAAACGAGAGAGGCCCAATGTGAGCCTCACAAGCCCCCCCCCCATCACTGGCTGGGCATCCCCACCCACAGAAATACCCCAGCTGGCAGCTCCTGGCCAGACACCCCCAGCTGCTTCCTACCCTCAGCTCCCCCTTACACAGCTCCCCAGTGAGCTACCTCCCAATGAGCACCCTGTAGCACCCACCCACCCCTCATATCCCAGCACCCTCTAGCACCCACCCCAGATATCCCAGCACCCTCCCATCTCCCCTGGATACCCCAGCACCCTCTAGCATCCACCCGTCTACCCCAGATATCCCAGATACCCTAGCACTCTCTAGCACTCACTTACTCACTTCTGTGCTGACCATCAGCTGAAGTATATGGTTACATGCAAATTCTCTGCAAACAAGCTCCTTAACTAATGCACATAGCATGTCACACATGGCACTGCACTTCTGGGCAGCTGCAATGCCGAGCAGCGCGGGGTCAGTTTGCAATGCCGGGTTATCTACTATATTCTCTTTCTTCTGTAGAAATGTGGGGAACCTGTGGGCCTGAGTCTGCTCTCACTTGCACTGGTGTAATTCAGGAGTAAACCCAGGTCGGGGGATGAGATTATAATGGCTCACAAATGTTGTGCATTTTTGTGTCAGCTTCCGCAGCTACTCCGCACACCAGATACAGGCTGGACTGTGCATCAAATCCATGCTAGTACTATGGGGGCCTCAATTTGTCTGAAGCGTCTGGGCACTACTGCAATATCAATACATGGCAATAATAACACCTAGCTGTTGTTTGGCGCTTTTCTTCAATCTATCTCTGAGTGCTTTACAAAGGCAGTCAGTATCAGCTGGGGAAACTGAGGTACCGAGTGGCATATAGTGTTTTTCATCCATAGATATCAATGCTCTTTACAAGGTGAGTAAGCAGCTTTATTGCTCTTCTACAGCTGGGGAAACTGAGGCATGGATGGTATCATCTAGTATCAGCTGGGGAAAGTGAGGCACAGGTTTGGGATTTGCCCAAGGCCACAAAACAATTCATCAGAGGAGCTGGGAACAGATCAGAGGCTTCCCCACACCCAGTGCAGTGCTCTAGGCACTAAACTGCCCTGCCAGTTTGAAACTCCCTGAAGGCTGCTTAGAGGCAGTTGCAGATATGTGGTTAGCAGCGCCCCACTTACACGGCACCTCTGCATTCATCTCAATGATTTAAGCCGCAATGCCTCTGTGAAGGAGCGAAATATATCCAGCCTGCCTGGCTTGTGTCAGAAAAGAGTCACTAAATGCATTCAACTTTATGTAATAAAATAAGGAGCAGTCCCAATAAATTCTTGCTTGACGCTTTACGCACTGCTGTGTCCATGCTGCTAGGTTTTTCTGAGTTTAGGGCTACTATCCACTTAGCAACTGGCTTTGTTATGTGGAGGTGACGGGTGCCACCTCCTGGCCGCTGGGAATACAACACAATTGAACAGATCCCTTCATTCCATTAGCATCGCTGTGCGGCCTCACAGGCCCCCTGCCTGTCTCATGCAGTAGGATGTAACAACAGAATAATGCAGTCGATTTGCCTGTGAAATGCAGAGCATGTGTGGGATGCATGGACCCAGAAAAGCAGGAGCTTGAGTGGGCTGTTGAACTTTGTGAGGGGAGGTTTGAGACAGGAAGTCAAAATGTTTCATTTCCAGCCTCTCCTGATTTGCCCTGCTTGGCTCCATTGAAAGGGGAGGGTTCTCTGCTCTCTCCCGTGCTGCAGAGAACTTATTCCAAATGTAAACTTCCCTGGGGAAGATGCCTCCACCTCAGCAGTGATAGCTTGGCCCCTAAGAGTCTTGCTACAACATTCTCACTCTTGGCACAGCATTGTCCAGTGAAATCTCCACATTGTTAGGAGCAACTCAGTGCCAGCGGCTGTCCTGGCATTGGGGGTCCCTAGAGGGAAGTAGCAGGGGGCATAAAGTGGAGACTTGTCACCTCAGGACTGAGGAGGAACATTTGCAGAGGAGGCGAGGGGTGTATAGAAGAGGGAAACCATCAGGGCACCTGGTCAGAAGTAGCCAGCCAAGGCCTGCTAGTGCGAGGAGGTGGAGGAAGGAGGAGATGGCAAATGGTCAGAGACCATCACAGCCAAACAGTGGAGCTAAAGCTCTGCTAGCAACGGCAAGAAAATGTTGGCAAAGTAGTAAGTCCAATAGCCTCACTGTGCTTCAGTTTTCTCCTCTGTGGAATGGGAATAATGCTTTTTCCCTGTCTCACTGGTGGGGAGAAGGGGTGTTGTGAAGATCCATTTATGTCTGTAAAGGGTTTTAGAGGAGCGTATGGACCACAGCAACAAAAGCACTGACTGAAAAGAGACAGAGCTTTGTTTTCCAGCACTGGGTCAGGGGGCTCCATCTGGCTCTGCGAGATTACATTTATTTTTGTCCTCCAAACTGAACTTTCTTTTAATGGCAATGGAGTGACAGGCCCTGAAATAGATTTCCTATGGACTCCCTCCCAAGTGGCATTGTACCCAGCGTGTCTCCCGATAACCTTTCTTCCCTGCCCTGGGACTTTATCTGCCGCGTGACAAACACCCTCACTGGACAGAAAGAGGAAATTCCACTCATTGTTCTGCCGCTACTGGGGTCTGACTAACACACTCTATCTTCTGCCTGCTGCACCACTGTCAGGCTGGGATTGGCAGGCGTTTCCTGCGGTGACAGTCAGCAGGGGCTTTGTGGGAGGAATATGTTTCATTCCAAGACTCCCAGTTAGGTCCCAGCATAAGCCAACTTAAAGGAACAGGTTTGCCATTCCATTTTGGCCATGTTGTCATTGACCCAAGGATTATCCCCCTCCGATTCTCTTCTCTGTTGTCCCAGCTCATGGGCTCTAGGGTTCATGTGGTGGGGAGGTATGGTTCAAGAGTCCCTTTCCCATGTTGTCAAGTGGGAGAGGAATCCTCACTAGATGAGCAGGGCTCCTGGTGATGGAAAAGGTTGAGAACTATTGTCCTAGCTATTTAATGTATACTAGCATTATTACTTCCCATGGTATAGCAGGGCCATCTTGGAGCCATATAGGTAAGAGCTAATGAGCTAATAAAAATAATCTTATGGACACCCATACCACCCAAATAGTGAGGTGTAGGGAATCAGGCACCAGACTGGCAGTCAGAAAACCTGGGTACTGTTCTTGGCTCTGCCCATGACCCTGGCCAAGTGGCTTTGCCCCAGTTTCCCCATCTGTAAAATGGTGGTTGAGCCTCCTTTCGTGAAGTACTTTGAGATCTGCAGCTGCAAGGTGCTGGGTAGCATTTCTTCCGTCTGAGGCTCTTGAAGCACTCTGCAAATTGGCCAGCCTCATGTGCCGTATGAGTTAGGGCATGTGAGCCCCATTGTTCAGAGGAGAAAAGTGAGGCACAGGAAGGTGAAGTGTCTCGCCCTATGTCAAGGCCAGAAACGAGCCCAGATCTCTTGCCTGCCAATCCAGTGCTCTAACCACTGCAGAAGGCTTCCTCTCATGCATCTCTAAGCAGGTTAAGGATGATTAAGTAGGAAAGTGGTAAAAAGAAAAGGTAAAATGCCTCACAATGGGCTAAATTCTGGTTTATCCTTGGTGAGTGCTCTGGCGGATTGGGAGGGGCAGGGACATGTTCTCACACCCAGCGCATCTGCGCAGAACTTAGGAAGAGCTCCGTGAACCCAAGAGGAGGTGGCTAGTGGGCCTTTAACTTGTCTTCTCTTATCCACTTCATTCCCTTTTTCTGTCGGTTTCTTTTCTCTCTACTTGGTTGGGTTTTTTTTCAAGACAACTTTTATTTCCTTCCTTTGGCTGACCAACAACTATAGGGAATCATCAAAACCACGCACAGATAGCTGAAGGGTGCCACGGCCAAGGATGGTCCTTTCTCCTGGTACAGAACGGGTCGGGGCCCGACTGGCAGTGCAGGGAGGAAACTAGTAGAAAAGAAAATATAGCCTAAAAACCAAGAGGGAAACCATCCTGACACTGAGATCTGCTCCCGTTTTACAATTACGATGATTCAGAGGAGCCCCAGTCATGGCCAGGACCCCATTGTGCAAGGCGCTGTACAAACACAGAGCAAAAAGACAGCCCCTGCCCCCAAAGAGATTGTGGTATTCCTTGTGCCTTGTGGGATAGACTTCTAAGGGCAGTGAAGGGAGCCCCCTCCCGCTGAGATCTTTCAAAGGGATCTGAAGAACATGCAGTAGGGAGCCAGCCAGCCTTGGTATTGGAGAGGAACTAGATGGAACCTACTGGACTGTTTCCAGTCCTAAGGCCCCAAACCAGCAATGGGATTCTTTCCATTTACTTTATTGGGAGTTGACTCAGGCTCTGGAGTTTCAGTGGCTCTGTCAGCCTTTGTAGAATTCTTCCCTTTGTTCAAGGGGAAACAGAATCTTCTTAGTTTTAATTCTGAAGGCAGCCTGGTGTTTGTTGGGACAGCGTGGTATAGCTGTATTCCTCTCAGGGGATGCCATGCAAGTGGTAGCAGTATGGGAAGCTTGTAAATGCTAGACTAGGCTACATCTAGGGAAAGGACATGAGTGACAGGATGGCCCAGTGTTTAGGGGTTGAGAGACCTGGGTTCAAGTTCTTGCTCTGCCAAAGATTTCCTGTGTGATCTTGAGCATAGCCTCTCTGGGCCTCAGTTCCTCATGTGTAAAATGGGGATAACAAGGCTTTCCTATCTCCCAGAGGTGTGGAGAGAATGAAAATTGTGAGGTACTCAGATACATGGTGGTGGCTGTCATATAAGTACCTTAGACAGACTGAGGAAGTTTTACCATCACGACACTGACATGAAGCAAGACCATTTTAACAGTGACATTTATGAGGTTGCAAAACTGAACCACCACCAAGGTATCGGGCAATTAGTACCATGCAGGTGCTAAAGGAGGTTCACTCAGGAAGCAGGCTAGATAGAGACCCAGACAGTGGACAAACTCAGCATGCTGTCTTCTATGACATTTATTTTAATAACTTACAGTGTGCTCATCACTGTTGCATCTGGACGCACAACATTAAAACAAACATCTCTTTGTATCCACCTGCACTGAGTAGCAATGCTAACCCTTCTGCCCACAAGAAAAGAATTAGTGGGTGGGTGGGTGAAAGAGTGGAGACAATATACAATGAAGGGTTGGTCACTCTTCATACTTAGGGCTGACTAATCTTCAAATGCTTTACAGGCATTAACTAATTGTTCCTCACAACACCCCTGGGAGGTAGGTGAGTACTGTCATCCCATATTACAGGTGGAGACCCCGAAGTATGTGTTAAAGTGATTTGCCCAAAGCCAAAGAAAGAGTTGCTATGAGAAATGAGATTGGGACATGAGAGTTCCTGGCTCCCTGTCCTATGCCCAGATCTCTACACTACGCTCCATCCCACTCATTCTCAAAATAACTCTCAGTATGATTCTTGTAATTTTGCCTGCTTAATTCTCCTTTTCCGTTCAAACTGTTCAGATCTGTTAGCATTTAGAAGGGGATGAAGTAATATCTTTCATTGGACCAACTTCTGTTGGTGAAAGAGACAAGAAGTTGGTACAGTAAAAAATATTAACTCACCCACCTTGTCTCTCTAATATCTTGGGACCAATGCGGCTACATCGACACTGCAAACAGCATTTAGCATGTCATTTGCATCGTAACCATGTTCAACATGGACTTGTGTTGATTAAACTGATGGGGAAAAGCCCCAGGATCACCCACGCCTCTTTGGTCCATCATTTGGACACTCAACAGTAGAACTCAGTTGAAAAAACAAGGAGGGCATGGTGAAAAATTCACAAAATGTTGGCTGAAACTTCTCACTGGTGTTTCAAACTTCACTGAAAAATCAAAATTAGAAAAATGTTGACCAGCTATGCTCAATATACTTTGCATACCTGATTGTTACTGATTGAAAGCTCAGTGTCTCATGCCTGTGAATGTTTTGCTTGCATAAATGGGATGTATGATTTATGGCTTAATCCAAAGCTCATTGAAGTCAATGGGAATCTTTCAGTTGACTTATTTATTTATTATTCAGTTGGTTTCAGCCTTTAGAAAATTCAATTTTGAGTGTCTCTGCATCCTCATTGCTAGTGTTGTAGGCAAAGACCTATCATGCTTCAGAGAATAATATATTTTATTTTTGTTTTGCATATAAAGTATCTTTTTTCTTAAAAGGATACATCTAAAGCTGATCAAAAAAATGTACAATGGAACAATTTTTCATCAGAAAAAGCAGATTCCAAGGAATCAACACGTTCTCCATGAATATTTCAATTCCATCAAACCATTTTTACTGCCATCCCTGTCTTTCCCCAGCTCCCAGATTGCCTGGACAACTGCCTCATGGGGCCACCTGACCTGCCACACAGTCAGCTTTCTGGGAAGTCCTATGAGAGTGAGTCAGTCAGCTGGGAGCAAGGCAAACAATTCTGGTTTGGTTCTCCTAAAATGGAATTTTTCAGACTTTTTCCTCCTGCAAAAAAATTTAAATTTTTGACATTTTGTTCTGATTTGGAACAAAAAATATTCTTCCACAAAATCAGAATATTTCATGGGAAGGAAATTCAATTTTCTCGCCAGCTCTAAATACATCATCATGACCCAAACTTTTCCTTTGCTTCTAGCTTTCCAAGAAACTAGAACGTACTAAGGCTTCACTACAATAGATTAAGAAGAGTCAAACAGAGAAAGATAGAAGAGATCCTGGGGTCAAATTTTCTAAGGAACCTATGTCCCATTTTCAAAAGTGACTTAGGCTACTAGGAGAAAATCAGTGGGACATAGGCTCTATGGCCCAGTTCCTCAAAAGTATTTAGGCACCTAACTCTCATTGATTTCAATTATGAAAATGGGGTTTAGGCTCCTATGCCACTTAGGATATGTCTACACAGTAGCTGGGAGGTGTAATTACCAGCTTGGGTAGATGTACATGCATTAGTTCTGCTCAAATAATCCCAACTGCCCTAGTACGTAACTAGGGAGCCACGTAGGATTGTAGATGTACGTTTAGGCACTTTTGACGATTTTTTACCTATCTCTTCTTTTCACATTTCATCCCAAGAACCCGCTCCTCTTCAGCACATCTGAAGCCCTCCCTGTGTCTCTTCTTTTAAGGCATGTTGTCAGACTTGCTTATGGCTCAAATGCCTTTGGGAACTTAATTGAGTGAGTTGGACATTCCAATTTAGCAGCTTAAATGAACATCCCGTAGGTATAAAAAATATATATTCTATGAAAATATATTTATATATATATATATATATATATATAATGCAGTTAAATAGCCTCTCGAAGATCACTGGTGTGGTGGTCTGCTTTGATTTAATTCTTTTGAGAAATCAGGAGCTATTTTCATGTCAAAACAGCCCTGTTCATTTTTCTTCTGTGCTACTAGGTTATTGGGCACCTCCGTATTGAGTTTGTGTTACGATGAAAAATGCCCCAGTCCCATGTGCATACAGAGCTACATTTTTGTGTCGCTGGTTTCACTGACTTCTGATAGAATGAAGCCAGGGTTGTCGTAACCTCTCTTTGCCTTCGCTTTAGCATCCTTCTCATTGTAGAGGCAAAAGGCACAGTGAGGAGTCTCTACTTCCACGGTCTTGCTGAAGTTGTGGAAGTCTACTCTATACTTCCCTTCCTTGGTCTTGGACACGATGGGAGCAAAACGGTAGCCCCAGAGTACCTCCTCTGGGATATAGGATGTCCTGACCTGACAGGTAGCACTAGTGGCTTCCACTGTACCATCTAAAAATACCACTAGCTCAAAATCCTGCTGGAGGATGGTTTCCACTGACATGTGGAAGAACGGGCTGGTCTTATCAATGATGTGGTAAATAGTCAAGGGGGAGATGAAGAAGAGGTTCTCATTGCCAGCATCCACCACAAAGTCTATGTTGACCTGGTCCAAGATGATAGTCTCTCCTTCTGGAGTGATGGTGGTCTTCAGAAGCTTCCCATAGATGTGGCTCCCAATCAGTAGACTCTTCCTAAGGTTGGCCACCCGGATAAGGAGGCACAGCTTGCCGCCTCGTTTGCTAATGACCGCATTCTTGCTGAAGGTGATGGTCTTGGCCCGTTTCTTGGACCTAGAAATCTTAGCCAAGATAGCGCCACACATGAAAGAGTTGATGATGACCCCAAGGATAGACTGGAAGATCAGCAGGAAAATGGCAGTAGCACACTGCTCTGTGACATACCTGAAGCCATAGCCAATGGTAACCTGGGTTTCCAGGGAGAACAGGAAAGCAGAGGTCAAGCCGTTTATGTTCTCCACACATGGGGTGTGGTTTATGGAAGGACTGAATTCAGGAAGATCTTTATGTATATATGCCACAACGTACCAAAGGAGACCAAATAGGAACCAACTGCCTAAGAATGCTGAGATGAAGATGGTCATCTTGTATCTCCATCTTAGGTCCAGGATGGTGGTCCATATATCAATCAAGAAGACAAACCGTGACTGTTCTTCCACGTTCCCAAACTCTATGTTACACCTTCCATCTTTAGATACCAGCCTTGCTCTTCGGCGACAGCGTTCCGTCAGATGGCTGGCAAAGCGCTTCCGGAAGTATTTGAACATTCCCTCTATCGACAAAGTAGTCTGGACAAAGAACAACATTTTATAAACATTATGGCAGGTGATAGTTTTATTTACAATTGGAGAGAGAGGAATGAATCCTGTACAAGACTTAAGATGTTGACTTGCTTATGAAAAGTTATGACATTAGCACACTGGCCTTTGGCCATTTGGGAAGGATTCCAATTCATATATAAGAAACCAAATGTGTTCTTACCCCAAGGAGCATTCCAGTGAAAAACAATAATAGCAGTTTGCTCAATAAGCTTTCCAAACGTGAATGAATTAAATCTCACAACCCCCTGTGAAGCAGCTAAGTATTGGTATTCCCACTCTCATATGAAAAAACTTGAGGCACAGAAAAGTTAGATGATTTTTCCAAGGTCATACAATGGCCATAATTTTCAAAAGTGACTAGTGAGTTTAGGTGCACAATTCAAGACCCCTTAAAGGGGCCTGGTTTTCAGAAACTGCAAAGTCTGGATATGGGGATTTTCAGTCAGCTGCTGAAAAGATAGAGGGGCCAGTCTCAGCAATTTTGTATCTTTATGTATCAGCATTAGAAGAGGAGGGAATGTGAAATGGATAATGAACCTTGGGAGGGTAGGGGGAAAGATGGAGAAGGACCTATACTAGCAATGTGAGATGTGAATGTCCGTATAGTTATTGTTAATATGCCTATTGCTCTACCTGAGTGCAAATCTCAGATCCAGCTTCAGGTTTCAAACTCTCCCACAGTCCAAGATTGGCTGGAATTTGTGTTTTGGTTCAGGTCCATCATTAATAAGAAATGACAAAAATGGAAGGGAAGGGGAGTTTTCTGCCTTCCCAAGAGATACTGCTAAAACTAAAAAGCCAGATTCTGGCCTCCTTCCTCTGTCTCCTTGTTCATTTGGTCCCCTGTGACTGGCAAACACTAATAAGAGGGACACGAAATATGAGAGTCACTGATGGGAAAATAGTAGAGATGGGTTCAAACGGCAAAATTTGGGTCTGGGTTTGGAACCCCTCCAGAACTAGATGTGGAGTTTTGATTCAGCCCATTATAGAGCTAGGGACTAGCTGCAAAATCCAAATGCAGATCTGGGTTCAGATTTTGAATTGCCCCAAAATTCAAGGATGTTCTGATTCCCGGGCTTGCTTTGGCTTGTTACAAAAAGACTTATTTGATCCAGTAGCCAGTCCTCCTGCAAATGTAAGATATAGTTCCCCAGAGAGAGGACATATTAGACTAACAGGCACACTAACCCATCATAGGAGTGTACAGTATGTACATGTACTCAGCCTTTGTTGGACCACATTCTTCTCACACAGCCAAGTTTCATTTCATTCTCTAATCATATTTCCTGGGGCCAAAGAGTTTCAGCTTAAAAACAACTGAAATAAATTAAAATAAAAAGTGAGGCCCTGTGGGAAATGCTCTCACTGGTGATTCACTGGCTGTTCCGAGCTTAACATTACTGCGTCTTTTGAGGACATTGGGTCCCCAACTGCGCAGAGATGTGTGTATTTCAGAGGGCTGGAGCCTGCATGACTGACCATCTGTTTTAGAGATACCCAGCCCTGGAATAGTAGGAATGGTGCAGGTCAGACTCCAGACTGAGGGGCATTTGGCAGATCCCAGGGCTGGAACCTCTGCATGGTGAAGCAAGCCAGGATGGGTGTGCTTAGGTAGAGCTTTGTGTTCCACATTGTTCTAGATCCCTCACCATCACTGGCATCAAATCAGACACCCAACAGAAAATGACATTAAACTTTCCCCCGAAAAAACTACTGGAGTCTGAGATGTTGTGATGGGGGGAGATCCCCACGCTAGCCCTGCAAGAGCCGAATTGAGCCAGGTGGGCCCAATCAGCTAATTAGGCTGCAAATGGGAGCTTTTGTCTGGAGGCAGCTAATTAGAGAACAGGCTCACCTGTGCCTGTAAAGTGGGCTACAGACTAGACTGCTGCTGCTGAGAGAGGGCAGTTCCTTCCTGGGAAGAGGGAGAAGTGTTTGGGGCTGCTAGGGAAGGCAGGAAGAAGTCAGTCCCTGGAAAAAGGGTTCTTGGAGCAGGGACACCCAGAGAGAGAAGGGGAGCCGGGTGTGGTAGGCAGCAGTCCAGGGAAGGAGCAGTGAGGGCTGGGAGAGGAAAGCCCAGAACTGCTGAGTTGAGTGTCCCTGGACTGGAACCTGGAGCAGAGGGCAGGCCCAGGTTCCCCTACCAGCCACTGAGGGCAGTGAATGGACCCACTGCCTAGAACTGATGCTGGACTGAACCTTGGAAAGGGGAATGCTGGAGGGCTGTGTCTCAAAGGAGACACTGAAGGTCCTGGAGTGAGAGTAGCTGCAGACCCGAGTTGGAGTAATGGCGTCCAAATTGCGGACGGGGGCGTTGACCTCAAGAACTAATCCCCAGAGTGACCAGGAGGAGGCACCAGACTGGAGGTGAGTGGATCACTCCGTGACAGATGTCTGCACCTCTGATCTCTGTTGGGGGACAAAACAGCTAAGGTCGTGTTTCAGCTCCTTAGCACTCAGTCTTGTTCTCTCTGAACTCAGAGGGAATTTCATCATTGCCTTCAAGAGGCGCAGGAGCAGCTCTTTAATGAAGGCGGTTGACTGATGGTTAAGGAGGGAGAGGCGCCTCAGGCTATTGTATTAGGTCTTTCACCTCTCGTGTGCTGTGGTTTGGAAAGGAGATGAACTGGGTCTCTTAATGATCCTTAGATATAACATTATTTTAGTGCCTAATCTGTGGCTCTCTTTCCCTGGCCCAAATTCTGGCTGGTGGTACAGAATCCCATCATGACAGGTTTCAGAGTAGCAGCCATGTTAGTCTGTATTCTCAAAAAGAAAGGAGGACTTGTGGCACCTTAGAGACTAACCAATTTATTTGAGCATGAGCTTTCGTGAGCTACAGCATCCGGTGAAGTGAGCTGTGGCTCACGAAAGCTTAATCTCAAATAAATTTGTTAGTCTCTAAGGTGCCACAAGTCCTCCTGTTCTTTTTGAGAATCCTATCAGCAATTCTAGCCTCTTGCCTACTGACATGGCCACCACACAGGCTCTCTGCTGTACGAGCCACGCAGGGGATTAGAGAGCATAGCACAGAGGATGGATTGTGGTCTGCAAGTCTGGCTCTGTAACGTCACCTACGTGTACACGCACCTACATGCACGTTATTTATGCTCCTAGTAGGAATAATCAGGGTGGGGTCCCGCAAGCCCACCAACAGGGGAGGCACAGGGGGCAATTGCTCAGGGGCCTGGGCGATTTAAACAGGCCCGGGGCTGCCACCACTGGCAGCGCAGAGGGGCTAAGGCAGGCTTCCTGCCCACTCTTGCTCCACACCACTCCCAGAAGAGGCCAGCCAGTCCCTGTGGACCCTGGGGAGGGGGTTTCCATGCACTGCCCCTGCCCCAAGTGCCAACTCCGCAGCTCCTATTGGCTGGGAACTGCGGCCAATGGGAGCTGCAGGGGTGGTGCCCGGGCCTCCCGCTGAGGAGCCACTGCCAGAGGGGTATGCCAGTCACTTTCGAGAGCAGCCCGAGGTAAGCGCCGACCCCCCTGACTCCCTCCTGCACCCCTGCCCCAGCCTAGAGCCTGCATCCCGCACCCAAACTCCCTCCCAGAGCCCACACCCCGCACCCAAACTCCCTGACCTCTCACCTCCTCCCGCACCCCAACCCTCTGCCCCAGCCTAGAGCCCGCACACCCTCCCACACCCAAACTCCCTCCCAGAGCCTGCACCCCCTCCTGCACTCAAACTCACTCCCAGAGCCTGCACCCCGCACTCCCCCCTGCACACCAACCCCTGCTGCAGCCTGGTGAAAGTGAGTGAGGGTGGAGGAGAGCGAGCAATGGAGTGAGCAGGGGGCAGGGTCCCGGAAAGAGGCATGACGGAGGCATGGTCTCAGGGAAGGAGCAGGGCAAGGGCGGGGCAAGGTTTGCACAAGTAGACAGTTGGCAACCCTACCGGCATGTGGAAGCCCTGGCAATGCCACAAGAGCTCACCCAGCAGCGCAGCCGGCAGCTTGCTGGGCACCAGCCAGCACAGGTGCAGCACTGCCCAAATGTCAGGCGGACCGCGTCCGTTGGTGCGTGGCTTGTGCGTGCGTGGGGGCCCATTGCCTGCCCTGCCCTGGGGCCCAGAATTGCTGTGGGGCAGACCTGGGGTCATGGATGCCTTTTCCTGGGTCTTCTGCCAGCTAGAATATGGGTGCACTTAATACTGCTTTGGCAGCATATTTTGGGGGTATTTCCTCCAGGAGCCATAATTTGGCCCTTGTATATATACCTGGGTTTGCAAACTCCCATAGAATGGGCTACATGTTAATACATTGTCTGATGGACACTGCCCCTCCCATTCCACATCATCACTCAACAACCCTGTGACAACTAAAGCAATTGATTCTGTAGGAAAGAAAGTTGTTAATGTATTTTTAGTTTATTTTAATGAGAGCGGGCAGTTGGAAACACCATAAATTATGGCTCTTGGAGGAAATACCCCCCAAATATGCTGCCAAAGCTGATGAATTAGTATTCTGTGACCTATCACTGGCTGCCTCTACCAATGTATAGTGATAAAGAGAGGCTGCAGAAAGAAGAAGGTGGCCCAGTGGTTAGGGAAGTAGCCTGGAACCAAGCAGACCCAGGATCAATTCACTGTTCTGCCATAGACTTCCTATGTGGCCTTAGGCAAGTCACTTAGTGTATGTCTACAGTGCAATCACAGAGTATGACGAGAGTTAAGGGAGATGTATCCAAACTAGCTTTAATCTAGCTAGCTCAGGAACTGGAGCACTGTGCCCATCAGCATGGGTTAGACAAGCCCACATGGAATCCTGGGTAATTACTCAAATTAAAGCTAATTGGGGCATGTCTACTTGAGATGCAATAACCGGCCCTTCCCACCCCCTGATTGCAAGGTAGCAAAACCCTTAGTCGCTTTGTGCCTCAGTTCCCCATCTGTGAAATTGGTATGGTAGCACTTTCCTACCTCACAGAAGTGTGAGGGAGGTTAAATACATCAGCATGTGAGGTGCTCAGATAATACAGCGAGGAGGGCAATGGAAGTGCCTTAGACTAAACAACAATAAATGGAAAAACACATGAAAGAAAATCAAAGATGAAAGAATACAAATCAATTCCATCTTGCAAAGCTGGCAGCAAAAGGCACCCTCTGCAGCCCTAGTTCATAGCGCCAGCCCCTGATGGGATGGACGTGCCGCTGTGTCTCACATGGCTGCATTCTTACTCTGGATGTCCCCCTATTCCTGTTAAAACAGGAACAGAACTAAAGTAGCTTTTTACTGTTTGAAACTTCTGCTGCTGAATTAATTGGCTAGGGAAGGTACCAAAGCAGGTTAAATTTTAAACAGACTTCAACTGGGGAAGAGGGAACAAGGTCACTTTCCAAGCTCTCCTCCAGTTTTATTTCCCTTGGATGCTTTTAATGCGTTCCTGTTAAAATACAGCTTGGACAAAAAGAAAAGGTTCCCGTGCAACAGACCATTCCTTGTAGTTTCCCAATAAATACGTCTTTTTTCCTGCTCTTCTTCTGCCCAGAAACATGTGCCTTGAAATCTCATTATTATCCCCCATCTCTGGCTCTTGTTTGTGACAACACTGTGCTGTGGCATTGTGATTGCAGATGTCCACTAGTCAGCACTTACTGGGTTTGCAAAATGGCCTGATATTACTCATTGTTCAAGGTCTGTTTTACACACACCACACTTTATATAGCGGATCCATAGCAGATACCCACCTGCTACCACTCCTAGCTAAAGGATGTAGTCCTTTAACTCGGGTGGTAGAAGTCTGTAATGAAGGTCCTGGTTTGAGATCCTACAGTCAGCCCACACTGCGGGATGTTACATAAATAGCCACCAAAGAACATATAGAGGGCAGGATCCTGCTTCTATTGAAATCAGCGGGAATTTAACGAGCGAACAGGATTGGGCCCTCAATTCAACAGAATAGGCACGTAGGAAGTAATGAGTAACCGCATCAGACTATATTCCATGTTTTAGACTCAAAGCCTGGAAAATAAATCCCAAAATTCCTTTGCCTGATTCCGTGTAAGACTTTAGGACTGTTTTATGAGTCTAGCTCAAGCAATCCCAAGTAGATCAAACTGCCTGAAGAATTACACCCTTGTCTAGGAAAGGTGACAAAGGAATTCACCCTTCAACAAACTTTTTCACTCCCACACACCACTTGCGTGCACTGATTTGCTTCAGCGAGAGCTAATGTTCCCTTCTCTATAAGTACACTGCAAGTATACGTCATAGTTCATCTAGAGAAGCTTATGTAAAGCATGTTGTATAATATACAGGGTTCTCAAGGTCCCTTTGGTTTAAATCAGCAAATAGTAACCCAAGTCTGTCTTAGGTAATATTTAGCATGGCATATTTACTGCTTGGGCAGATCATGTGGAAATATTGCTGTCTTTCTATTCATACAAGTCCTTGTTGCTCTAATCAGTGACGTTTCTCTCTGTTCCCAGAACATAAAATGCCTATAGAAGGTGCACTGCAACACCCGGACTCTTAAACAATGGGGCATTTAAAAAATACAAACCCCATCACCCTAGGTAGGCACCCCTGGTAGTTCGCTCCCAAGGAACCAGAAAGCTCCACGGCTGTGCTCCAGTTTCATGTTTCACTTGATCAGTGTAATAAGCAGAAACCTTTATATTTCTATGAATTAAGGTTCCTGATCTCTGGATTAATTGCCGACCTCTCCCCCATCCTCGCTCCCTCCCTCCCTCCATCTAGGATCTCTGACAAATGCCCAGAATGGTATGGCTTTCTTCCAACCCTCTGTTGCTATTACAGATACGTCTCCCACCTCCCTTCTTTTCCCTGAAGTCCTGCCCACTCACAAGCAGGTAACAATAGTCTAATATCTACATACCAGCTGGAGTTCTTCAGTGCACCCAGAAATGTAACTGAATGTTCCTCCCCTTGTTTGTTTGTTTGTTAATTGTTGTTGTTGTTGTTGATTTGGGTGTTTTCTGGTAAATCCTTTGTACAGCATTGTGTGCAGAGCATGCTAATCCAAGGAAACAGTTTTAATCTGACCCACGTGCAGCAATTTAGCAGAATCATGAGTGAAGACAAGGGAAAAGATTTGGGGGTTGGTAAGTTTGGTTCAGATCTTAGCAGGAAAACATGTAGCCCTTTAAACCCCTTTGGATGGGTCCTACCACCCAGTCTTGCATTGGATAGTACCTTACCCCATGGTTTCAACTTCATCCAGAGAAATGTACTATTCCATGTGAGAAAGGGTGGCAAAATCTAGCCACTGTGGGGAGAGATCAACAAAACTCACTGAACCTGAGGTTCTTGGCAAAACACACGGTTGTGAGGGGCTCCAATGAAGTTCTAGGAAGCTTAGGGAGAATAAGGGGAATACAGAGTTAAGGGATTATTCTTTACAGCCTTGGTCTTATCTTTCCAAAAACATTTCTTTTTTTTCCACCCCCTTCTGTCTATTATTTTCCTTTGCTGAACATGCTCTGGAGAAACTATGCCAAATACCCGTGTCCTAATTCCTTCCAAAATCCTTTTTATTAAAAAATGCTCGTGAAATTCAGAAGCAGAGCAGGCTGCGCATTGTCCACCAGTTGCCGTTGCCAGGGAGTAAATGCTAGGCGGCTGTGAGACCCTCGGAAGGTACGGCACGTTTTCTCTTGGCTCGCTGTCCAGGGAAGCCTAGGAATTTGCTTGTTGCAGCAGCTTAACTGTTACATCTTCCCCACTCCACCTGCTGCTTAGATCACAAGATCTACAAGCATGTCAGGGCTGCCAGAGAGAGGTGGCCCTGTGCTGAAACAAACACAAGTACAGTAAGAATATAAATCATGACTAAAATAGCCTGTTCGGCTACATCCATAGTGGTAACTTCAAACAAAAACCTGCGACCTGGACATGCTACGCCCTCAACCTCAAACTTTGTAGGGGTGTAATACCACCCCAGCTCTGGATATGAATTCTCCAACTGACCCTTAGCTCTGTGCTGGATTTAAATCCCAGATTCAAAGTCCTCTGCTGTACTTTTGGGTGCATCTGAATTTCAGATCAGGATTTGAGTTTTCAGGCTTGGGAACCTAGTTAGCACTAGTGTTGCAGTTTAATCAAGGGTTGAAATTGAGCAGGAAGTGGGGAGATAATAGCTTAAAATACAGTATTATAGAGGGGCTTCTCTTGCTAAATCTTTCCTGTCTGACTTGTGTGCCCCGTGGTTGGCTGAGGTTGCACCAGTCAGGTCCCGGAGGTCCCATGGATAGCTGATGTCTGACCCCAGGAGGCCTCGAATAGACCTTGGGATGGTTTATGTGTGTGGCCCTGTGGTTGAATGGCACAGGCTGGACTCCAGTGCCGCTGTGGATGGAATAGGGATGCCCTTGGCAGTGTGGGCTGGAAAGTCCTGTGGATGGTATGTGTCCACCCAGAGGCACTTGAGTGACCCTCTGGATGGATGGTGTATGTGCAGAGGTACCCAAGAGGTTCCATGGATGAATGGTCTGGTCTGGAGGACCAGATGGCCTCTAGAAGGATAGTGCATGCCCACAGCATTGGGGCCCAACAGAGCCTGTGAAAGGAAGCTGAACACTCATGGCAGGGAGCTCATGTGGCACTCAGGAACTGGGGTGTGAGGAGCTCCCTGTCCATATGAGACCCAGTTGAGCCCTACATGGATAGATGGAGCATGTCTTGAAAACTTGCAAATTCTGGAAAAGCTGCTGTCTCCTGTTCTAGCCACGCTCCCTGCCAGGCCCGAGGGACCCAGCAGAAAGCTTGCTGGAGTGCGAGCTCAGCACCAGCATCACCATTAAGCATTTGTTCATGACCGTGACTCCCAACATCATCGGTGCAGTGGCATTACCTCCTTAGTGTTGAGAGACATGCGAGTTCTGCCTGGGCAATGTGATCCATCAGTTCGGCTCAGCCTGCTAATCCAGGAGTCCTGGCCCAATTCCCCTTTGGGTGATTACATCCTGCCAGCCTAAATTCCCCTGTGGTTTCAGATGGACAGAGCAATGCTCTTTATTCCCTGCCTTGCCCTCGCTCTGTCATGTAGTGTTGCCGTGAGCTGCTGAAGAGCTGCTCCTTTCCATTCCACTGATGCTGCACTTCAGTAGTGGGTGCAGTGATTCCTATACGTAGCTTTTATATTGGTTTGTAAAGCATCCTCCTGGATGAAACATCCACTAAAAATATAAACCATTATCTTTATAGGAGGCATCTTCCATTTCTAACAGAAACCCATGATCCCATCATCTGTGGGAGCTCAATGGTAAGAACAGAGGACTGGAAGCCAGGACACCTGGTTTCTAGGCTCGGTTCTGCCACTGACTTACTGCATGCCCTGAGGCAAGCCACTTAAACTATCTGTGCCTCAGATTCTTCTTCTGTAAAACAGGGATTAAAATACTTTCACAACACCCCATGTGACGTAGGAGGCTGGACTGACTTATATTTATAAAGTACTTTGAGATCCTGTGATGAAAGTCTATATTAAAGTACAATGTCTTCATCCTCATTCAAGCGGACATTACTGTAAATTCATGCATGTACCTTTTTGTGAAAGGGTTTTTAAAAAGCACAGTTTTTGAGGTTCCAAGGTTTCTTCTTACATTATTTTAATTACTACACTGACACCTAGATGCCTCATTGTACTTGGCCCTGAACATACACCTGATAAGAGACAGTCAGTGCCCCATGGATCTCACAATCTAAATAGGTGAGACAATGGATGGGAGAAATATATTATCTTTATTTTACGGATAGGGAACTGAAGCTCACAGAGGTTAAATGATTTGCCCAAGGTCATACAGGGAGTGTGTGCAAAGCTTGGAATGCAGGTGTCCTGCGTCCCAGCCTAGTACTTACTAGACCGTCATTCCTTGCTATTTACATACATAATAACTTTAAAAACATCATGCTGGTTTGCTTCCCTGATTTCTCTCCTGCTGAGCAACATGAGGATATGAGCAATGTGAGGTATGAGCTGAGCAATATGAGAATTTGCAATTCATAATATGCCCAGTGTGTATTGGTTGAGGAGGCAGGCTTTGGCAGGGGAAATTTGCAGCCTAACTAAAGGAATAATTCATTCACAAGAAAGCTGCCAAATGGATACATGCAAAAAAATGCCATAGTAATGGAGATCCCAGCAAATAATGCTCTCTGAAAGGCTAAGAATGCTTACACAGAGCCTCAGATTAAAATGCATAGATGCAGATGTATGTATAAATGGTCTACAGCAGTAAGACTATTACAGTTACTAGGAATGGATATTCTCACTGTGAATATGGCAACACAAAGGGGAATGCAATAACTGCATTCATTAGAAGTGGCAGCTTAATGCCTGGAACCAAATGGACAGAATTTGACACTTCTCATGGCTGCAGACAACTCCCGAGCTGGAGGCAGTTTATAGATGGTGGCATTCCTTTCTCCTCTGCGTCCCACGGGGGGAAGAAAGATCTGTGTGGGCTCCTAGAGATGGCTGATCCTTTATCATCTCCCTATGGCTCTGTCTAGACAGAATCATTTGCTAGTATTCTTCGGTAAGGATGGTGTCATTGCCGATAAAGGGGTTCCATTGTTTGTTATTACTTATGAGACTAAATTAATTCCCTAGCCACACTGGAGTCCATATGAGTTGCTGAGTCCTTTATCAGTTTAGAAGCATAAAGGAACCAGCAAAAGAGGATACACTGAAACAAACGTTCTCAAAGTGTGAGATAAAATGAACAGAGTGCTTCAGTTTAATTAAGTGACTAGATTTTTTTTCCTAGCAGTGCTGCAGCCTGAGGTGATCAATTATGCACTCACCTACTGTACTGAAGGGACTGGCTGAAAATTTTCCATCTAAACCTTTTTAACAGAAATTTTTGTAACTGAACACTTTTTTTCACGAAGTGCCTGCTTTCCATGGGAAATTTCAAATCTTCATTAAAAAAACAAATGCCTGAAAACAAAATATTTTAGCCAAAAAAATATTTTGATTCCACTATCTTACCATGATGCCTCCTTGGAGTTGTAGTTTGATTTCTTCATGTCCCCATTCTCCTCTATGATCTGGGCTTACCAGCCAGATTACACCTTCCATGATGCACCTGGCCAGAGACTCCCAGGGTGGGACACTGTGGCGCACCATGTGAGATGTAGTCCCCCAGGGAGCCTGGCTTATTGAGAATGGGAATACGAGGCACCTGAACGACAACTCCCAGGAGGCACCATGGCAGCATTTCCAAATCAAAATATTTCAGTTTTTGATTTTTCGCTGAAAAGTCCCTTTTTTTCATGGAAAACATCAATATTTTTTTTTTCTTTTCACAGACCTGTTCTGGGTGGGGGAGCACCTTTTCTAACCATCTCTGGTCTCCTCATCTTCATGTTACCAGGAGAAGGCACCTCAGCCAAGATGCGGAGGTGGGGGAAAGACACTGAAATTGGAGGACTCTCCCTTGTGTGAGTGAGAACAGAAGTCACAAATAACCCAAGAACTCAGTGAGAATTGGGGACAGAGGGGGATGGGCTGGCACAACTCACATAAAATGTTAATGATTCAAGTCAGGAGGGAAATGCACAAAGTGCAGGTCACAGAAGTCTGATGCTTCTCCCTTTTTATTTATTTATTTATTTATTTTTTACTTCTCTGAAGTATTAAGAGTGAATCATTAATCTGAAATTTGGTACTGCAGAACTGACCAAAGTCACGTCTCAGTGTCTGGCTCAGTGCACTGAGGGTATATCCACACAGCAATTAAACACCCTGGCTGGCCCATGTCAGCTGACTTGGGCTGGCGGGACTTGGGCTACAGAGCTGTAAAATTGTAGGGTAGACATTCGAGACCCCACGAGGCAGCAGGCTTCCAGAGCCCAGGCTCCAGCCCAAACTTCTACAGTGTAATTTTACAGCCCCACAGTCTAAGCCTGCCAAGTCTGAGTCAGCTGACGTGGACCAGCCGTGGATGTTTAATTGCTGCGTACACATACCCTGAGAGAGCTTCCTACAGAAACTGTTTCCAACAGAAACAGGGCTGAGAGGCAGTTGGCCTCACATAGCTAGAAGACAGCCACTGCCTGAGGCCATTGCTTCTTTGAGTACAGTGACACGGTTGAGGTTGCTTCAGCATCAAATCTCAAGGTACCCCAATGTTCAGGGCTACCATGCAAGAAGAGCTTAGAGTCGCATAGAACCTCTCATCCCAAAGTGTGTTATGAACCTAAACTGGTACAGTTACTCCATCCAATGCCGAAAAGCACCCAGCTCTGGGGCGGGGGTACAAAGCATTGGTTTAAAAGCTTGGTTCTGTTACCACTGCTCGGCAGGGGTGTGCAAGACAGTTCAGGAAGTCCCTAGCATACCATATACTCAAGGCAACCATAACATTGCTCTCTGCACTTCCAGGTTGCAAAGAGGATGGTAGTGGAGAGGCTACTGCTGCCACAGATAGGCAGAATTCTCCAGGAACCACCAGGACCGCTCTTGGAGTAGCCATTTCTACACCCAATCTAGCGGTGTAAGAAGTGTTGCTGCTCAGCACTCGCTTGCTAGTGCCTCATATAAGCACCATGCCTCCCTTCTCACCACTTTGGAACTGCAGGTATCTTCCCCCTCCCTCCCTGGCCACACAGCCATACACTGCATGCTGCAGCACATGATTTGTAAGTCACTGGCCATGACCAAGTCAGAGTAGGTTAAAGCTGGTATCCAAATGAGTGTGAATATCTGAGAATAGAGTTTATGGCCTCTAGTTATTTCTTGCTGTAAGTCTAAAGGTGATGAGGTCAATGGTTCAAGCATCAACTGC